TGTCTCTTCGAGACTCGACTCTTATTTCGCGAAAATTGTGAACCGAGGAGGAGAAAGGGGGACGAAGAAAGGGCGCACGAAAGAGTTTCATTAACTCTCTCAGTTCTCTCGGGAAATATTTTCCAGTCGCGAGAATTATCAAAATGATTTCAACTAAGACTAATTAAAGCTTACATAACGTTTTGCAAACGCACAAATACGGTATTTCTCGTGCCACTTCGTGCTAGGAGATAATTAACGAGCGAGCGTGTTGCAGTCGAAATTATAATATAAAGCCGTTATCGAGCAGGTATGCCATATAACGATATGGTTGCCGTTTCGCAATGACGGGATTGGCGTGTGCCCAATGTCGTAATCGTTGTCGAATGCGCAATGAAACGGAAAATCCGGTAAATTTTAATGAGATTCCCGTTAGAAGAGAAAGGGTTGTTTTCTTGTCGGGCGATAACTGCAGCTAATCGTGGGGAGCCGAAGGTATAAGAATTCATGGCCGTGAAAACCAGTACGAAAATATCGCAGCGATACGTCCGCCCGCTTTCTTTTTACTGTTTCTTGACCCGCCATAAACCGCCAGGAATTTAGGTATCTCGTATCGCATTAAATAAAAACTATCGCGTAATTACGTCCCTTATAAACACGACAGAAAAAGGCGGCTTTGTTTATTTTTACGAAACGCTTGTCGGTTGATTGAAATACGACGTTTATCTTAGATGGATCGCGCGATTGAAAATAATCTTATCACAACTTACGCACTCGTATACTCGGCGTATAAAGTTCGATAAGTATTCGACCCTGGGTGTGAGAAGTGTGTTGAACAATGAACTATTTCTACGGAACTTTCGCATGAAACGTCATCGCCATTTTTGACACTGCTCATCTAGATACGGTCGTCGTCCAAATTGTATCACGTTTGCAATCAGGATTATTTGACGATGAATAATATCGTATAATTGTAGCTGCTATTAGTTTCAATTTGCTAGGATTAATGTACAGGGGACACAACCTTCGGTTAGTAGCAATTGGAAGTAAAAACTGTGAACAGGAAATATACTGCTTGTTTTTTTTTTATTGAAAGATTGATCTATTATTTGTCTTTTTATAGATTTTATCCTTATTGGAGTCCTTATTAAAGTCATACATGCTTGAACATAGTAATAACTCACATTATAGTGTTATACTGTTCTTCTAGCAAAACATCTTCATGGAAAAAATGATTTTGCTGAAATATTTATAGATTTAAGTAGTAAAAGGTTTGAAAATAATTTTATTGGATCATTAAAATTTAAAATAATTATATAGAAAACTGAAGCAGGATGAGCAATGCTACAAAAAGTTTTGACATTCTATATTGTAGCAAACAGAGCGTCCATTATAATTTTTTTGATAATCCAATAAAGTTTTTAGATCTGTTTCTATCTAAACCATTAGATACTTCAATAAAACTGTTCTTTTCGTGCTCTTAAAGATATTTTTAATTGCTTAAAAAATAATATTGGAGAAAGAGATCTGTTTCTCCCTTTGCTTTTTAAAACTATAAATGGTTCTATGATATTTATATCATACAATTGCAATAGCCAGAAAAGATGTTGAAGTTTGGGAGAACAGAAAGTAATTATGAGAAATACAGTGAGAAGTAAATTTCTTCCTTCAACGTCGTTTACAACGAATGCTCGAATGATTAGAGCCTCGTGCATAAATTAACAATTTTACGTTAAAACAATTACTGTTTAAATGAAAACATAGCTGCGCTGTGTTGTTGTTTTTTATGAAATGCTGATGTTTACAAATTTTAACGACCACTGTAGATAACACTATCTCCTCACATATACGCCATTTAGTATAATAATATCATCATTACCGTTTGTAAACCTCATGTTTCACACTTGTTTGTTAATAAATTTTGAGATTATTCAAAGTTTATTAACATTTTAATTACTTTTGTTGTTTCTTATAAGATCGTCTCGATAAGTAATTTATTTTATGACATGTTTGTAATTTATAAGTGTTAAATTATGATTAATTAATTGATTTATAGAAGAGAGATTTTTTTAACGTGGGCAAGGGCAAAGATATCTTTCTCCAAGGAAACTTTCCGAAATAAAAATGCTGATAATGAATACTGGGCGTTATCATGTGTACCGACCTTCATATACTGATTTTATTTCTACTCAAACTTAAAAAATACATTTTCGAACTATAGCTTTAATAATTTGATTGTTTACCATACATAAACAGTTTAAAGCTGTTTTACTGAAAGATTAATTACTCAACATCCTATTGATAATTATTTACAAGCATTGTGTGACTTTATTTCAATAAGGATAGAATATGTAAGCAAATGATGGGCCAACCTCTCATCAATAATCAAATAAATAAATAATGTATTTTCCAGGGTTCATATTAATTTATCTTATCCCTTGTATATGTATTGTGGGGTATTACGTGTATCCAGAAATAACGTTTTTCGTCTGCTAGAGAGTATGTTTTCACGTTCTCCGTGTAGAGGATGGATGGCCACGTAAAAGTATCCCGTTACCACGGTAGCCCAGATACCGGATTACGGAGCACGAATTGTCAATCGCGTACGAACGAGACGGGCTTCTTAAAAGGCCTTTCAAAGTGTTGTGGCAAGGCGTCTAGACGAACTTCACCGTCAGATATTTGTCCGAAATAATAGAAATTTGCACGAATCGGGCTTCCCTGGAAATTCTGAAATACCGTTGATATTATATTGCAGAATTCTAGAAAAAGGGACATATATAAGACCAAATTATTTAAAGAATTTTGTACTCCGAGAGTTACATGTCGCTGTATAAAAATTTCAGATAAATATTATAATTTGTGATCGATTGGAATTGATTGACGATGCATTTAATAGGAACGATGCTAAGACATATTTATGTTCGTTTTTCATCAAATTGCTCATCTGTTCGTATCAAATTAACGCACCGTTATCGTAATATGTCGCTGTCCCATTAACATAATTGTTAACAGAGCCATAAGGCGTCGGCTCGGCTGATCGACATAATAGAGTAAACAAGCTGGCGTTACACAGCCACTTAATCTTCAATTGCTTATACGTTTGTGGGTTACATTATGAGAATTTTCACGTGATGCGGTTCGACTTGCGGCTAAACCGAGCACTTTTCTTTCGGGTGTGAATCAATTTCGCATTAATCGTACCACGAGCCGTCGATAGAACATTATTCAACGAAAGAGCGGCGAGCGCATTCTTGTAGCAAGCAAGGGAAATATCGAGGAGATCGATAGTAGAGTCGAACTATAGGAGAGCGAAAATCTCAGCCCGGATTTCAGGGAACGTTTTCAGGCTGAACGCTCGTTAGAGGCTCGATAAGGCTTCCCGTTTGTTATTTCAACAACACGTTCCACTGAATCATAATATCGATAATAGCGTAATGCTGGCATGCCGGAGACCCGCAACTTGAATGGCGCGAGTTTATGTCTTTCGACCGCCTATTTACAGAATGTAACCCGCGAGCTACAATGAAATTGACTTCTTCTTTCAGTCGGATATTCTCCTGCTAGTTTTGCGAGGGGAATCCCTAAAGGGATCTCTTAATCGTTTGCTTGCGTTCTCTCACGAAACGGTAAACCGTGTTGCTCCATTTTGAACGAGGAAGAATCGTTAAATAAATATAATATTTTAATAATATATATATATAAATATATATATTATTTAATAAATAACTTCACGTGCGTTCAAAATTAATTACTTTTATACGAAAACAAATTTGCTGGAGTATTTAAAAATGCAGGATCTGAAAATAATTTTATTGAACTATCAAGATGTAATGTGAGACGCTCAAACTGATTACTAGAATACCAAAATTTTTTACAGTATTGCTCATTATGTTTGAATTTCTTACGTAATTATATTGATGATTTAGTAAAATTATTTTCAGATAGCTAAATTTTTAAGATAATTCAGCAAAACTTTTCCGTGTATCTATTATTTGGAAATTAGTTGATAGAAAGGAGTTTCATATAGTGTTGATTACGATGAAAAAAATGTTAAATGGACCTGCCTGTTTGTCGTAATCACTAATGAGATGTCCCAAATTAATGGGAAATTTGTAATTACCGGATGCCCATGGAGAGCTCTATTTTTTCGCTCAATTATTACGGTAATTAACCTATTTGATACGCTATCGGCGTCGTATAATGGTTCCCGGGTGTTGCGAGCGATGATAGTTCTTTTTAATTTAACGCTCAATATGTGTCTGAAACTTTCCTTTCTTAATATATATTATTTAAACGTTATTCTAAAGGATTTGCGTGTTTGTTATTGGAGTGTTTAGTCTTATACTTCATTACCAATTATTATTTTGCTCGTACGTTTCAAAGATATTCATATTCTTATATATAACGTATATCTAATATGTATGCAATATTTCTAGATAAAAGACAGGTTTAAGGAACATAAATTTAAACTTTTAATTTTGGTTATATGCAGTATTTACCGATAAAAGGTACAGGTTCAAAGAACATTTCGAAAATAATAAATTTACCTTTCATTTGGTTGCAATATTTGAAGAGATATACACCCAGAGAAAGGTTTCTTTCATTCAAAGAAACATTTCTTTGAATCGAAGAAACCTTTCTCTGGGTGTAGATTCAAAAATAAGTTTTTAGAATAACAAGAACCTTTTACTTTTTATATTGGTTGTAGTATTTGGAGATAAAAAATAGGTTTAAAAAATTTTAGGAATATATTTTAAAAATAATAAATTTACTCAGGCAGTAAGCTGACATTATTTGTTGTCATTTTGACATGAAATGACATCCAAATGACGACAAATAACGTCAGATTGTTATCTGGATGTCTTTAATTTTAATTGGACTCGTATGCAGTATTTTGAGATAAATTTAAAAAAAGATTTCAAGAATAATAAATTTACTTTTAATTTTGTGGTTGTATGCAATTTTTGAAGAGAATAAAAGATATGATTAAAAAAAGATTTCTGGAATAACAAACTCACCTTTAATTTTGGTCTCCTGTGGATCCAGAGGAGGTAATCGTGGATGAGTCTGCTGCCCCGGACCCACGACTTGCGGTGGCGGCATCATCATTTCCGCTTCTCTTCCGAGCGCCTCCTCTCACTTTCGAAGCGTCAATTCGCGTCGCTGGTCATATCGATACCGCACTCGCACATATCCCGATCGATGAAAAATTAATCTCTTCTCGATCTTGCGTTTTCTTCTTTCGATTTTGCAAGCCGTAGTTCGCTAACGTTAGACCACGTTTCTAGTCCACTAGCTTTTTTTCGTTTCAGCCCGAGAAAACGAAAACCAAAATTCTCTCTCTCACAGCGGAATCCCGAATTGAAGAAGCAGCTGCCAATTGTCGCTAATTGCTTTGTTGGCCGACGAGCTCGCTGCGGGGAAAGAGAGAGAGAGAGAGAGAAGAAAGACGACGAAGGCGCCGGCCGGGACCTCCTTTCTACCGACGATGCTCCTTCTGCGTGCTGCCTCGTTATCGTCCACTCCGCTACGCCGCTCGGCCGTCCTCCTCGTTGATTGGCGTCGCCCGGTATGTTTTTTTTAATTCGATCGGCGCGCGAGCGTGATCCCGCGCGTTCTCGGCGCGCCAAGAAGGACGCGAGCTCCGATTCGCGAGCTATTATCGCCGAGAGCAACACTCGTCGTGCAATGTTCGCGAGCCATTCGTTGACGGGTTCGTTAACGAGTTCATCGACGATCTTACCAACTCGCGTGCCAATCGAATCCTCATTCGAAGGCCTCAACCTCGTCGACAATCGGCGATTATTTCCGAGCGCTCGGCGGGACCAACGATTCGGCTGCTCCGATCTGCCATCGTTCCGCGAGAGTTCGTGCTTCTCTTCGCTTTCGTGCGTAACGAGGAAGAAGTAGAGGAACGAAAAAAAAAAAAAGAAATGCGTCAACCAATCGCGACTCGATTAATTGGAGAATTAATTGTGTTGGTTGTTACAGCTTTCGAGATGCGCCGAGAGTCTATTAGTCTCATGCGAGCTTCTTCTTAATTTAGAAGACGCGACGACGTCAATTGAACGCAAAGACGTAATCTGCGCGCTTATCACAACGCGTTGATAAGTCGAATAGGCGGCGATATCAGGTCGTGAGAGTTTCTCGATCGTGACTTTCGAGTCGAAAGGCCGATGATCGTCTCCCGTTGCGCTCTTCGTCTAGTTTTTCCCGCACGCACGATGCTTTTCGGCTAGAATACGATACCGAACGTATCGATCGTGGTAGCATTCCGAGATTACGGAACGCGAATGTTAATGCAATCACAGTATAGATTATAGAATACGAAAGTTAATGCAATCACAATACAAATTTTAGAACGAGAACGTTAATTTATCACGACTGGATCGCTTTTATAATCGACGATTGTAAGAATCACTATTTACAGTCACACGAAGTTTAATCTGCCTTCACAATATTAGTGTACACACCGCGTTACAGATGTTATCATTCGTGTAATACTCCGAATTTCTGGCGCGTAGCAATTAAATTAATTGCCCCGAAATCCACGACGAGAGAAAATTAAAGTCGATGATCAATTCGTTCTTTCGTCACTTCCACCTTGTCGACCGATTGCGATTTCTCTTAGAAATTAAATCTCTCTCTCTCTCTCTCCCTCTCGCGATCGTTACAACGGTAAGCAAACTTTTGCGAGGCACACTTCTGGCACTTCCGGTACTCGACGGAAATGACCTCCGAACGCGGAGCGTTATCACTGCATCTCGTGCTTCCAAGGGGTGTGATCGATCCCTCGCCAATTACTCCGGAGGCTTTGCACGCGCGTCAACGCGAAGTAGAGGAACGAACGACGAAGCGCCAACGCTGTGACAGCTTGGCGCGCGCGCGGCGAACAACTGATCGCCGGACGAATACGGCCAACGAGAGAACGCATCGTACACCCTACTCGCGTACCCGGTCCCCACTACCCACCATCTGCGTCGGTTATCTTTTTCTTTTCCTGGACACGAGAAAAGGAGGGAGAGGAAAAGAGAAGCACGCGGAGAAAGAGAAACCCTTGTAAACCTTTAATCGTGTTTACAAGTACAACCTTTAGGACGACGTTAATATTTATATATTTTTTCCGTCGTCTCGCAATGATAAATGGTGTGGAAATGGTTCTTGGAAATTGATGGAATCAATTTTCTGAATTAAAACCGTGACTATAAAATCACGTCTTGTAGAAGTTTGGAATTAGATTTCATTGAAAAATAAAAGATTAACCATCGAGGGACGAGTGTTGCATATTCGCGATTCACTTTAAAATTAAATTCGGGATAAATTTGGAGTAAATTCAAGATCAAATATGTAAAATCGCGCACTTGTCATAAATTGAATGTGGAAGCATCGTGAATTAAATCAAATTTTTGATATATAATATATTAATAAAATTTTAATAAATTCGTGCAAAAATTTATTTAAATCCACTTAATCATTTTTTTAAAAGTTATTTATCTAAAACTCCAGCAAAATATGATAATTGCTGCATAAGCCATTAAAAATTAAATAATTTATTTTGTTTTTTTTTGCAGTTGACTTCAAAATGTATTTACGACAAAATTTTCTTGATTGATGTTGGCTTGATTTTTTTGTAATAATATTATTGATATTATACTGTCATTATTAAATATCCTTAAGGTTCTTGTTCATTTAGTATCTTGGATTGTGACGTTAGGGGCGAAAAAATGCAATAACAATTCTTGCAAGTCATATTTGAATAGAAAAATTTTTTAATAAAATTTACAATCGAAAGAATATACTTATAAAATATATTTAAAAATCTATCTTCTTTCGAAAGAAATTAAATCATATTTATTTCTACATGTATATTTTTAATTTGCCATAGCTGTGAACGTAACTCATTTTATTTTTAGCTATGCATAATTTATCCTCAGATATGTAATTATTTATTAACAAAATAAAAGGAGAATTTTCCATATACTTTACAAGTCGTTTTATCGATTGTAAGTGTTTTATTAAAACATATTTCCATGTTAATACATTTGTAAGAATTTTTATTGCATATTTTCTGACATACAATTTGAGATAATAGTGGTGAATAAACAAAAGCCTTAAGTACTGAAGATGGAAATGTACGTAGCATATATTGAAGTGTACTTTCAACTGTCACGAAGTCTATTCACTTGTGTGCTTGTGTCTATTGTTATCGATCAAGTTTTTATTTGTAGAATATTTTTTTTTTTTCGAGTAAAAAAATTGTTTTCTCATTGACAAAACGATATGCTGTCTATAGAGGATTAATGGAGAATTCTAAAACATTGTTTTAGAAGAGGATAATAGATATACACTTATGCGTTTTGTCTCAATACAATTTTCTTGAGAATTTTTTTCGTATTGATAATTATACGAATCATTGTTTGCATTCACATAAAGTTTAATCTGCCTTTGTAATAATGCAATTATTTTGTAGAGTTTACTTGAAATACAGAAGCTAATTTTGGAGGCTCTCTTTGCTTCTTGTTTGTGTGTTATACTTAGAAATTTAAATTTGACATTGTTTATGATGGGAATCTCATTGTTTGCAGAAACTCTCTCTCTCTCTCTCTCTCTCTTTCTCTTTTCAAGATTTTATCATCGTTGAGAAAGAACGCAACTATTCTTGTCTTATCTAATTATTTCTAGACTGTTATTAATTAATAACTGACTTCGATTTTAATTGTAATATTGCCTGCGATATACCGTGCAATCGCTAGTTTGCCTTTCGCCATCGACGGGAAGGATACGGAAACTGATATTTTTCAATCTCTTTTGCTGCCAGGATGCGGGAACTCGATCTCAGCCTATGACGCGCGAAGGTTTCAAGACCGCCGATCTATGACGATAAAGTGCAAATTAAAAATGCGGTGACACACTTTCACCGTTAAGTGCCGCTACTATTCGCAACGTAATGGCCACCATTCAGCTTCTGTCTGGGCAATAGAGTACGCTGCGCATAAAAATTTTGCGTAATTATTATGATCGCGAGTAAAATAGTTCTTGTCTGGTGCGAAGAAAATCTCCCACGAAATAGAGCCTCTGCCACGAGACGAGGTTATCGTCATTTACGGCGGGCGAAAAGCATATATTCGCGTGACTCAGTTCGCTCTCCCACTCGAGCGATTTCATCCGTTTTCTTCGAAAATCTATTTGAGAGTGCAACGGAACTGCAACGCGAGCTAACAAAAGCGACCCCTGAAAAAAGTAACATATACTACTATCGACCGTGTTATGCTCTGAGAATATCGCCCCTTATATTGTCCTGTCGGGGCTCGAACACCATAAAACTTCGAAAAGTCACGCGATTCGCGCACATGCAATAGCTGCGACGACGTATTATAGCGGAGTTTCGTATACATTATAACGTTCGGGGTCTGGGTATTAGAACCCAGAGAATTTAGAACACGGAGGACGTCCTCCGTATTCACGTATGTGAGGGCTATTTCACAAGAGACACTATAAAGTATAGTAGAGGGATAAAAGAAGTAAAGAAGTAAGACGGAACAATACAGACTTGTGAGACCGTTTTACAACCCGCGGAAAATTTGATCAAAGATAGACATAAATAACGAAATTTATTGTTATATAATGGTTTGTAACGAGCTTCGATTTCGGCCATTATTCTCTGTTTAACTATAAAGATCTTACACGAAAAGGATGGTTTTTCTAAAATATCTAAAAATTTAACTATTTGAAAATAATTTTGTTGAACCATCAAAATAACTGGACACTAAAATTGATTGTTAGAGTGCTTTTTGTAGTATTGCTCATCGTGTTTAAAATTATCTTCATCTTCATACTATTATATATTTTAAATTACAAAATTGTAATTTAAAATTGAAATAACACAATATTTTAAGTAAAATAATAAAGTTGTTTGAATTAACGAAATTGTAATTTGAGTGAAATTATGCAATACTTCGAGTCAAGTAATACAACATTTGAATAATATAACATAATTGTTTCAGAATAAACAAAGAATTCAATTCTTCTCAAAAATTATTTTTAATAATATTTAGTCTTAGATAATGATATGTATTATTTAAAAAATTAAATAATCACATTTTTTCATTTGTGAGTAGCGATTCGGTTGAATTTTTCCAATAATTAAATTTCTTTGAATCTCAAATTTTGAAAATTTTTAAAATTTAAAAATCTTTTTCTCTTTATGTCGTGTAAAAAAAATATCGAATAATCCTATTTTTTAAAATATACAGAGAAAAAGATTTATATGAACTCGAAATTTCTATAATTTATGTTTATTTACGAAAACTATTAACGAAAACTTTTTTAAAACTTTATTTTTTTTACAAAATTTAGCTTGAATCAATTACATTTCTTAATTTAAAGAATCGATTTGGTTGGACTATTACAATGACTACATTTATTACATTTAAAGAAATTCGCGAAAGAATCGTTTTCTTTTTGTGTATAGAGGTGACTTTCGTGTCTTTTTGCGGCGACTCCACCTAGAAAAGAAACGTGACCAAAATACGTTCTCTTCGAAATCGTTCCACTTTTATCTGAAACGTTTTTTCGTATTTTCTATATTTTTCAAAATATTTGTCTGTTAAGAGTAAAATGAATCACCCTGTATATAAATATTATTAAACACTAAAATCTGCTTCGATCAAAAATAGAAATCTTTCTTTTACTTGCTAAATTTTAAAATACTTCAGCAAAATCATTTCTTCCGTGTATACATCGGAGTCACTTTATTAATCGCTAAGTTTTGCTCGAAAATCAGATTGTTAACGAGACAAATCGGTATGGTCGATCGCGTCGGAGAACAAGGTATAATCGAATGATGCGTCGATCCATATCGTGGAGGAGTGTATCGATGATCGCACAGCACGATGTTAGACATTTCATCGCCATCATAGTAATATTCCGCACGCGTTCGCGGACAAAGAACGTGCCAGTCGAATTTTCGCCGGCAGCTGGCAACGTAGATCTTTGCACCAGACGAGCGTGGATATAATGAAACTTTCGGAAAATATTTTTATCTCCCTCGCGACGCACGGAAAAATACGATACAGTCGGCCATACCGAAGGTGGAGACGATGAAACGAAACGAGAAGCTCCAAAAATAACTCCTGCTTGGAAAGAACGTTTGCCGAAGTATATAAAAATTTAGCGAGACATAAAAGATCTGCACAGAAAGAATAGTTTGTTGAAGTAGGTAAAAGTGTAACTGCACACATAGATCTGAAAATACTTTTGTTGGACCATCAAATAATTACGTATATAGGACTGCTTGCTAAAATATCAAAACTTTTTGTAGTGTTGCACGTTTAAGTATTCTACATAATTATTTTGATAACTCAACAAAATTATTTTTAA